AAAGAAAGGGGTTTATTTCGGAATCGCCCTTCTCTGCCGCGTGTAGACACGAGCAGTTCTTCCGGGCTAGTCAATTTCCAAAAATGGCAATCGCACGGGAACATGCTAATGAAGCGCGGGATATTTAAATCCCACGCTTCATTTGCAATTTCGGTCGCCCTCATTAGCCTCCCTAGATCGAACTAGTGGACTAGTGTAGACGTACCCATAGAGTAAAACCTTGAAGTCATAAAGTGGATGTGATTCTCAATGATAGGGTTACACATATCTACTACATGAAGGAAACACACACCTAAACAAAGTGAAACATATCATACTTTTTATAAGTTTATAGTTCCATAAAAAACCTGTTACTTCTAAAAGTCTCATAAACTACTAAATATAGACTACAGAGTGGTATAATAAACTATAGCTCATATGGATCATATAGACTGAAATGTAAGCACTCTACTTGTGTGTGTATTTCCTACTCTGTTTAGAAACCGCAGCCAAAGAATAAGTTACATGTAGTCTTCTGGGATCTAATATTCCATATCTATTCAACAAAACTCACAGTGAATAACTATATGGCAAAAATTCCAATTCAGCACAATGACAAAAATATTACATTATAATTATTTAAATACTGAAGAATTATTAATGCCAACTAATAATCTTCTGTTCTAATTCTATGTGCCCACACAAACACACTTCTGTTCTATGTACAGTACTTTTTCCTAAACTTACCTAGAACTGCTGTGTCATGCATTGGTTGCCTGATTAAGGAATGCAGATTGCTTTCTTAGTGGGGACTACTGGGAATCAACCAATTCTGCATCAGAACACCAGGCACTAGTTATGCAACCTATGCATGATTAAGCAATTGCAATGGAAAAAAGTAAAAGTACAGCACATAAAAAAAGAGAAGAACAAAAGGGGAAGTTCAGGTAATCGCTTCTTCCTAATATTCTTCAGTATTTAAATAAAGAGAACAATGTCCTTCCCCCTGTGCTGAATCAGTATGTATTCCATAAAAAATAAATTTGTTTCATATTCTTGTCTAATTTGTTTTAGAACTATTTACAGTATATAGAATACAAAATGAACTGGAACAACTGTCCATCCCTAACTTCTGCCAGGAGTTTGTCCACAAGAATTGTTATAACTAAACAAAAACTGTCCATTTTGCTTAGCAAAATAATATGAAAACTCACTTGGTAGAAGGCATTTAACACTATAAATGAAATGCTTAAATGCATTTCCACATAATATTTTAAATTAAAATTGGCATTTTCAAATATAAATTTTTTAAACTAAAACTAAAATTTAAATGTTTTTATCCACCAGAGAATTTTTTAAAATGCTATGTTTAATATAATGATTAAAATATTTAGGCTATGTCTAGACTGCCCTCTCTTGTGCAATAAAATATGAAAATGAGGTGAAACACTGAATATTGCCACACCTCATTTGCATGCTGAATGAGCTGTCATTTTTGCACAAGGGGCTTTAAATAAGCAGCAGAACGGCTGTTGCGCAAGAGGGGGGGTTTTCGCAAATGCAAAAACCCTTCTTGTGCAAGAGCCATTATCCCGCTTTTTTTCAGGAAGAATGGCTCTTTCGCAAGAGGGGGGTTTAGCACAAAAAGGAGCCATATAGATGGCTCCTTTTTTCACAAAAGCCCCTTTGCAAAATGGCGGCTCATTAAGTAAGCAAAGGAGGCACGACGATATTCACCGCTTTGCCTCATTTGCACATTTTCTTGCACAAGAGAAGGCAGTCTAGACTTAGCCTTAATTCACCAATGTATGGAGAACAGAGAGAGTTTTCAAGGGAATTCTCCCAACAGAAAATAAATTAAGTATACGAAATAGTTGAATTAAAAATAAAACCTAAAAATTTAAACCATCAAAAGCAGAATTCTGTATAAAAGAGAAACTATCAATGTATTTAGGACTAAGCTTTCACCTTCTTTAGGACTAAGCATCCTAACTTAATTTCTTATAATTTCTTTAAAAATAAATGTTCTCAAAAAGATGGAGATGTAAGAGCAAAACATATCTATTTATCTTTAACAGACATACCTCTGTTTTTAACAAGTAACTGAATTGTGAGTTGTGAGTGAGCCGAAAAGGGGAAATTCTCATGCACATCGTAATACAACCTATGATGAAAGCAAGAGTGCACTGCAGGCATATAGACATTTCTTCAGTATATGTGCATCCTCTCCGAACGATCTGGGGTAGACTTACATTAGTTGAAACTATGGAAATAAATGGATCTTGATGAAAGCTAATAAAACACACATTAACCTACAGCTGATATTACCTGTTCCTCATCAATCTACACTGTCACCACACCCAAGTGTGAGCACAGTAACTTCTGGGCATGCATCCCATGGTTCCCAGCACTGCTGAAAACTGTCCTTTACACTGGACATTTTAGAAGAACCGGTCTGACCCTATTTCAGTGGAAATTATGGCAGGAAATGTCCAAACCTCAGAACTTCACATTTCACCACATTAATAGCGTTGTGGTGTGATGAGGATCTAAAGCACACCAATGTCAGGCAGAACTACAAGAAAGGTTGCTATTCTAGTAGAGCAAGTGGATACAACCTTTCATAATGGATTAATAGCACTCTTTTTAGTGGCAGATCTGCAATCCATCGGGGTTCTATGTGCGGCCCATGAGCCGTTTTGTTTACGGTTGTCCACAATTCCTCTGATTTCCATCTGCATAGGTTTTTTTTCCTCCTAGTACTACTAAAGTGACATGGACTTAAAGCAAGCGCACATGAAGTGAGGTGAGTACTGATTACACAAAACAATGTGAGCAATTAGCAAAACTATCCTATCCCTAGAGATCATCATTGTTACAACAATCTTGTGGTTCATGGAGATGAAGGAGGCCCATTCTCACTAATCCACTGACTAGCCCACTCACTAACCTAGGTTAATGATCACTGCCCTAAAGGCAATGTGACATGGAGATATGGAATGGGTAGTGAATCAAGAACTTCAGGATGAGGAAGGGCACATTTCTGGAGCTGTATGAGGAGCTCTTGGAACCCTTGGAGTACAATAACAAAAGGAACAGAAAAACAGTATCACTGCAAAAATATATGGCCAGTGTCCTCTGGAAACTGGACATTCCTGAAAGTTACAGGTCTTCTGGGAGCCAGATGACAGTTGTCAGGTCCACCATTAGCACTGCAGTAATAATTATTTGTAATATAATGACTGCTGTATTGTCTGCATACGTGGTAAAAGTGCAAATATCCTTGAAATAACTGCAGGATTTGAATAGCTGAGGTTTCTCAAATTGTGCCAGGGCCATAGATAACTCTTATGTGCCCATATTCCCACCCCATCCCCAACCAAGAAGCAAATGCATATATCAACAGAAAGGCATCTAAATACCTTTGAGTATCTGGCCCATTAATTTAAAAGGGAGTTAAGCACCTAAATACCTTTGAGGATCTGGCCCATTGCTCCTTCATGATGCAGATGTTGGAAACCCATTGGAAGAGTTTCAAAGATACATATGTTAGATACACCTGTCAAGTGCATGATGTCTGGTTGTTTAGGAATTCAGGATTATTCGAGAGTGGGCAGGCAGATGTGTTTTTCCTACCAAATATATGGATACAAATGGATTCTTTGTTTCCACTTTTATTCTGAGTAATTTCTTCTACCCTCTACTGCAGGGGTGGCCAACCCACAGCTCATGAGCCACATGCAGCTCTTCCCCACTTAAAGTGTGGCTCGCGAAGTCTCCCTCGCAGCTCGCAAAGCCACCCCTGTGCCCCTAGAAACGGTCCCTGGCCTTCAGCCCCCAATGCTCACCAGGGGAGCCGTCTGGTGCGGCGATTCAAAATGGCGTCACCAAGACGGTGGTGGCCAACGGGAGCCTGATGTGGCCTTGTCTTTTAAAGGGGCAGCGTCCTTTTTTTTCCCCCTCAACAAAAATTGCTCTCTTTGTTTAATGGGTTGGCTACCCCTGCTCTACTGCCAAGAGTTATTAAGGCTTTCTCTGATATGCAGTAGTCTGGCCCAGGATGCCATGGTGCATTCAGACTGCCAGCTTAATGTAAATACATATCCCATCGCTCCTCCACTTCCCCCATCGTTCTCCACACTGCCCCATGTGGGACTAGTATGGAAGTATGTTGGGATGCCAACAACTGCTATAGTTTCTCTCCTTTTTCAATATAATACCATCGTGTAGCCTTGTACTGGCCCTCTGAACCACTCTTCCATTTATATTATTTTCGTGGGGCCCACAAAAATGCAAGTAACTTTTCCATATTTGAAACTGATTGATGGCTTTGTGGACATAATTATATTTATATATAAACAATGAAGTAAATGCGTAACAAACATCTTTGAGATTTTAAATATCTATTTTTAAATTGATTTTCTATCATCAACAAAATTTACAAGAAAAAAAATTATAACTTTTATCCGGGAAGAAGTTAGACAATAAAAATTAGGAGCAGGAGAGAGTTGAGAAATTGGAGGGAGCTTGAGCTAACAATACTATTACACAAAGTGTTCTGCATTATCACAGAGCAAACAGATAAACAAAAAACTGATGTTAATTTCACACAACACAGGGTGGGAGAAAATCAATGTTTGCTGAATGGATGTCAAGATTAATGGAGAGAATACTATTTTTAAACCTCTTAAGAAAATGTTATAGTGTGAAAAACATAAAATTTACAATTTTGATAACATTTGGCAGTGCTCTTTTTAAGGGTGACTTTCATTTTTGTGAGTGGGATTTGTTGTACATGTAGAATCCACTATTTGGAGTGAATGTGGTGGTATGACTATATGGCTTAAAAACCAAGGCTCAAGATTCTAAATTTTAATATAGTAAATATAAACTTATTTAAAAAGCTGTTGATTTTTAGCACAGTGATTTTGTCCGATCATATTGGAAAGCTAAAGCTAGACTAGGACAAAACAATTAAAATATATTTGAGGATTAAATGGTATTTTGAACCATACTCTTACCATGCAGCTCAAAACCATATGGCTAAATGGGAAGCGCACACACTCACAATTCCTCTTGGTTCAGTGAAAGTTTCACCTGAAAAAGAAGTACAGGATCAGATCTCATAATAGCATACCACAGTCTGTCTGTGTGAGCTAATAATGCATGAAACTCCAGTAAAGAAAGTATGGAAACCTCAGACCATATGGGTCTACATAGAGGACAAATAGGTCTACATAGTTTGTAGTCCCATAAACCCAGATGCCTTATTCATCCAAACACCTCACTCTTCTGTTGTAGTACTATGGACTGCACAACTGTGTGGCATGGCTCCATCAGATGCGAGGTACTATAGAGTTCTGCATGGGCTCCTTTGCCTCCCAGCGCGCTGTTACTCTGCATAAGCTAGAATTCTCAAAGTCATTTCCAGCCTGTTATTTCTGATTCTTTCCTATATCCTTTTATAGCACCTCAGTCAAGGATAGCCAATAATTTTGGGTGGGAGGCCACTCTAAGATTTTATTAAGTGGTCAAGGACAACACTTGTCTGTGGAGGAGGTGATATATGGGGAGACTTCAGCAAATCCAGTAATGTGCCTGAACCACTATTGCTTACTGCTTAAACTTTAGCAACCAAGCTAACAGGCCCAATTAGACCTAGACTGCGACTTCTGCATGACCATAGTCATGGAGGGAAGGGGGAGTTTGGGTGCCACAGAGAGGGCAGCTTGACCCCTCGTCATTCCTGAGGCCCAAATCTCTAGTGAAATCACTGAGCTATACATTTGGAAAAACAGGACACTGGTCTAAATGCCCTAAGACATATATCTGTCAGGGCCCCTGGGCATGGAGTCTCTGAAAAAGAAAAAATGCATCTGGTGAAAGTGATGATCAGAAGAAAACCTCTTGCCTAACCTTTAAAAAGTGCTTGCCTAACAAGTTTTTGAGTGACATAGTATTGTTATACTAATGGATAAATAGGGAAGGAAAGTTTGAGTTAGGGCGAAAATTTTGGTAACACTTGGAGGGACGCCTCGAGGACTCCTTGAGGACTCTTCACATCTGGACGCATCTCCGTTGGCACCGGAAGATGGAAGACTGGCCATCAGAAGCCTGCTCAATGCCATTCGACAGCCACACTCTACTTCAGCAACTATTGGGGGGAAGGGATGTTTTACTAACCTGTTGCGGATGTGTGTAAGTGCTTGAGATTAAGTAAAGTTTAGCTTTAAGTGAAAGCACTCTTGCATTGTCCTGTTTGTACCATCCATCTATCAGTCGGACGACCATGTCTCCCCTGAATTATTTCCTGACACCACCTCGCACATAGTAAAAGTTACCGAGAGGTTTGAGTTGAAAGAACCCCGGGTAACAGTGCATGGTCTAAGATGGAGGTGGGGCACAAAAGATGGAGGTTGCATGCAGAAGGGCACTCAGGGTAAGGGACTGGGTGGAGGCAGTGTGAGGTGTGAGAAGGAGTTTGGGTGAAGGAGAAGGTTGGGACTTGGATCAGGGGATTGAAGTGTAAAGTCAGGGAAGGAGTATGGGTGCAGGACAGGAGTCTGGCCTGGGGGAGGGGCTCTAGGAGGAAGTCCAAAGTCTGGGAGGGAATTGTGACCTGGGAGAAGGGGAAAAGAGATGCAGATTGCAAGGGTTTGGGTGGTGACATGGAGCAGGAGAATGAGGTGCAGGATCTGGGAGGGTGTTTGGGTGCAGGAGAGGATTCTGGCCTGAGGGAGGGTGTTGGAGGAGTTACAGAGTATGGGAGGAAGTTGTGACCTGGGATAGGTGGGTGCAGAGAGTTTGGATGGTGACCTGGGGGAGAGAGGTGGAGGTGCAGGATGGGGTAGAGTACCAAAGGCAGGCTCTGGCTGGGAGGCACTTACCTAAGCAGCTCCCGGCTAGTAGCCCTGCAGTACCCTCAAGGCAGGCTGGGCTCCCTTCCTTCTGCAGCCCCAGATCACTTGAAACTGTAGGCTGCCCCCTCCAGGGAGCTCTTAACTCTGGGTAAGGGAAGAGGCTTGGGCTGCCCCCATGCCCAAGCCAATCTCTCAGCTCCTATTGGCCTATTTTTTGAGCAGTACAGGATCTTTCGAACCGGGGCATTTCTGTCGAAAATGCCCCATCTAAACTGCCGTTTTTTTTTCGAAAAGCCCCGTTTCGAAAAATAGCAGCAGCCATGGACTTCACTTTAAACCACAGCAGCTGTATGCCTGAGGGTCCTGGTAGGATGGTCGGCAGGCCAAATCTGGCCCCTGGGCTGTATTTTGCCCAGGCCTGCCCTCAGTAGTATGTAGGATTTCACCTGATCTGCATTATGTTTAAAGGAGTTTCATATTACTCATACTATGGACTGATCTAGTTAATAACATAACACTGCCAATACAAACTGATTTGATATATTTCATTTACAGACCCTTGGGAAAATATATGAAGTTGCATTTTAAAACTAAGTGGACAAAGGTAACTTTTATAATCTTTCTGTGATGCAACTTGCAGTGCTTCATTAAAAAGTTACAAAATGACTCATTCTGAAAACATAAGAATGTCCATACTGAGTTAGATCAAAGGTCCATCTAGCCAAGTATTCTGTCTTCTGACAATGGCCAGTGCCCTAGAGGGCATGAACAAAACAAGTAATAGAGTGATCCATCCTGTCACCCATTCCCAGCTTCAGGCTATGTTGAACATGTGCAACAGACAATTGTTGTATTCAAAATAATTAAACAAATATATCTAAAACAATCAGTATGTTACAGAAATGACTTTTCACTTGTCAGATATTTCTCTTACTTAATACACAAACAACCAAGTCCATTTAAAAAGAAATTGTTCCTAGGCTGAGAACTTGCTGGTTAAGTTACAGCAGTGAAATTTTTTCAGCCAAGAAATAAAACACTAAAAACTGAAATTTAGAAGTACAAAAAGGAATGACCCTCAACGACAGTAGCCTTAACAGACACCCACATGATAATATGAAATATATTAACAGGGTTCATTCAAGATTGCAATCACACCACTGGCATCTGAGGCTTCTGTTGTGGCATACTTTAAAGAAACACTATCAACTTTTAAGTTTTTTATGATTGATATTTTTTTAAAAGTAGTTTATCAGAGTAAACTTTAAATATGTTCCGTGGGATTTTTTTAATCCATAAAGGTTCATGCCACTGATATTTATATGCTCTTTTCAGCACAGAAAAATTACTCTAAAGGCAATAATGTGTACTCAAAGCTATTCTCAGACACAAACACTTTAGAAAAGTGTTTTCCCCCTAAGTTATTTCATTTCAGCACCGCAGTCTTGTGTATTACATGGATAACTAGAGTAGGTACTAAGGATGTTAAGGACTAGTCGACTATCCAATAAGCATTTGCTTATCGGATAGACTGTTGACTAGTCGAATACCCCCCCCACACACACACACATGCTGTCTCTATAAGATAGAGGCAGCAAAGCGGGGGAGAAGGGGTACTTCAAAGTGTCAGCGCCGTACAGCTGAGCCAGGGATCAGCTATGCAGTACCGCCGCTTTGAAACCTGCAGGCAGCATTTCAAAAGGGCAGCCTCCGCACACCTGATCCACGGCTCAGCTGTGTGTCACTGCCCCTTTAAAACACAGAAGCGCCGTGTAGCCTCCAACTGACCCCCGGGCTTCGCAGAATTGCCCCTCTGAAACGCCAAGGTGGAGTTTCAAAGGGGCAGCGGCTACTCGGCTGATCCCCAGCTCAGTTGTGTGGAGCTGCCCCTTTAAAATGCTGCCTCCACGTTTCAAAGAGGCAGTCATGGAGGTTGGAGTAAGCTGAGGACTCCCCAGCTGATCCCGGGTTCCGCTGAAATGCGGCACAGAACCCAGGGTCAGCTGGGGAGTCCCCCGCTGACCCCAGGCTATAAATGCACAAGAACCCCTGCTGGTGGAGTTTCAGCACAGAATCAGTGGGACTTCCTGCTGGCCCTGGGCTGTATGGTAAATTCTGCATTCCTCCTTTTGGGGCTCTTGTACATTTCAAAGGAGGAATGCAGAAGTGCATATCAACTAGTTGAGTAGTCGGTGGAAATTCCATCGACTACTCAACTAGTCAATTAACCAATATTTAACATCCTTAAGCTGACTCCAGGCTCCACAGCACTGCCCCTTTGAAATGCCAAGGTGGCATTTCAAAGGGTCAGATGCCACACAGCTGACGCAGCATTTCCCCTGAGCCGGGTTCAATCCATTTCCCCGGGACGCCCCAGAGGACCCCAGGCTCCATGGCACTGCCCCTTTGAACGCCACTTCAGCATTTCAAAGGGGCAGCGCTGCTCAGCACTGTGCAGCACTGCTGCTTTGAAGTACCCCTTCTCCACCACCTCCTGTGCTGCCTCTATTTCAAAACATATTAGTCCAATATCCAATAAGCATATTAGTCCAATATCCAATAAACTTAGTCTACTAGTCCTTAACATCCTTAGTTTGTGCGCTATGCAGTAATGAAACCAACTGAGTGTGATTTTGGCCAGTATCATGCACAGCAGACAGCATTTTCAAAAGACATCGCTCTAGCCACCACCTCCTGTGCTGCCTCTATTTCAAAACATATTAGTCCAATATCCAATAAGCATATTAGTCCAATATCCAATAAACTTAGTCTACTAGTCCTTAACATCCTTAGTTTGTGCGCTATGCAGTAATGAAACCAACTGAGTGTGATTTTGGCCAGTATCATGCACAGCAGACAGCATTTTCAAAAGACATCGCTCTAGCCCTCATCCAGTAGGCCACCATGCCAGCAGAGGTGGCGGGGGGGGGGGGGGGGGGCGCCCCC